TGGTTCATCAGTGTGTATGTATACTGTATTTTGTGTACTGTATTGATAATATATGGTAAAATTATTCCTTTTAGAATGATATCCCCTCCTCAAATAAAGCACATTGTTTTCAAATGATCCTTCCCTGAAATGCCTCAACACAACACCCCGGATAGTAAAAATGATTATTGATATCACATGATAAACATATGCTCCTTTGATAATTGAAAAGTGTTCTTTACAACCAGATGGTATCTAAGTTATTCTAATGTAGATTCAATTTAAACCAGATCATCCTGTCTACAAGGCCGTAATAATAAACATTGTCATGTGGCATAGAGTGTTTTACTGATATAGCTGCTGTGTTATGGCCAGACATTATTTTACTATTTTGATTTATATCGAGGTAGGATACATGTATTTCCATGAATATTTCATTTATTTGTTTTACATAGCTGATATCTTCACTACAATAACTCAAATTGAATAGTCCCACTTGCAATGCAGGGAAAGCTTGAATGCATATTGTTACTAGTAACATTCCCACTATATATTCAGTCATACAATCTCTATACATTTAGTGTATGTACCGTATCCAGGATTGGCTGTGTGCACATATTTTTTTTAACTGTTGATAAATATAATATATATAAATATAATTAAATATATTCATATTTTCACACAAGGCTGTATAATTTGCATAATCCATTATTGGCTCTATCTGGTTAAGTCAAATTAAATGTTCATTGGGCTGGTAGGATAAGGATTAAATTATAACATTAAGCCAGGAACACTAGGTATTGTAAACCTAATTGATTGGAGGAGAGTCAAGTTATTGGTAACCATGGCAATAAATTTAATAGGTGAATATTAATAATAGTGTTCATATAGTGTTTGTTCATGCATGTTCTATCCTCTATTTGTCATTCTCGTGACGTTAGATGTTTTTCGAAATTTACTAAAAAATTAAAGATTAAATTAGTAAATTACATTATGATATACATGTACATGTGTTTGCAATTTTTGTTTTCAATTCAAAATCACATTGTATTAACGATAAAAAAATCCATAGAGCAGTCAGGCTGTCATCAGGTTGACATTGTAAGTTACACAAGTGTATACATGAATTTATGAGAATTAAAATGATTGATGTGCATGTGTCATATAATTTGATAATTTATGATTTAAACTGATGTGTTAAACAGTATCTTTGCTGTCAGTGTCAGTGGTATATTTCAAACTAGACAACAATATTATTCATATACATATGGCATTTTAATCAATATTCTGACTAATCTGAGTAATGGAATATGTGATAATTTTAATAATTTAACGCTGGCTTCACATCATGGGTACCCTGGTTGTCAATATGTACGCTGACTTCACATTATGTGGTGATTTGCTGACCACTCTGGGTTCTGTTGACCTAATGGATATTCCTCCTGTGTTGACTTCTATCCCTGTGGTTCTTCACAGGCGATCTGATGTTGAGGATACTACTTTGAAATGGGGACCAGCCACAGAAACAAACGTGAAAAGAGGAAAGCGAGTCCTGAAAAGAAAATACGAGGTAATCAAGATGAGAAGAAGGTCAGAAACATGGAAACGAGACATTTTATTTGGATTGGTTTCCTGGTAATCGCTGCAGTAATTGTTATGTGGACGTACTGTGTTGCAGAAAATGACCAATCGCGAAACTTGGACGAACTTTTGAAATATTACAACGTCACTCATTCACTTTCGAAAATAGACAGAAGATCAAAGTTAAGTTTACAAGAATATATGGATGTGTATGATGCAAAATTTCCAGTGTTGATCACCGATGTTGTGCCATTATGGCCAGCGTTTAATTGGACAAAGGATTTTTTTCTGAAGAATTATGGTGGTGTTAAAGTCACAGTAAAAACAGTAGAAGGTGATTTGTCTAAGGCTGAGAGTCTGGCATTACCGATCAGCATGTTCATTCAGAAATCGCATAGTGGGTCGTTCCAAACATGGACGTATCTTGAAGATGAAATGTTCATAACTCAACGACCAGAGCTTTTGAATGATATCGGGAAGGTAGCTTATTTAGAAGAGGATTATTTTGAACTGTTTCCTGCTGAGATAAAACCTTGGAACGCGATGTTATTGTGGGGAAGTGTGTACTCACGGTCGCCATTACATATAGACCCTTACAACTGGACAGGAACTAATGCTGTATTAATGGGAACTAAACGGTGGAAAATGTACCCACCGGGACAGGATGATTATCTTTATGTTATCAATGATCAAAAATCAGGATTCCCCCTTGACTGTTATAAATACAACAGTCCAATTGATGCTTATGACGTAAATTTGGATAAATATCCTAAATTTCAAAAAACAAAATGGTTAGAATTCGACCAATATGCTGGTGAGTTGTTACTGATCCCGACAGGTTGGTTTCATCAAGCTTTTAACGTAGAGGAAACTATGGCAATAAGCAGTCAGGTCATGAATACAAATAACTATAAAATTGTTCTTGAGGAAATTCTCAAAGCCGGTAATTTTGATGACATTAATTTGCCTATTGATTATGCTTCCTTGTTGCCGGAGAAACAGGTGGAAACTCTGATGTCTGTGTTGCCGGGGAAAATATTGGAAAAAGGCAGACAAGTGACTGAGAGTGTTTTGAATCAATTGAAATATGATGAGCTATATCAGCAGCAAGGCTAAGTAAACAAAAAATATTTTAAATCTACATACTTGTTGCAAGTAGAAACTGGAAGAATTGTTCTCTGACATTGATGACATGTACTCTAAATGTGATTATGACATTTCGCTAATGACATTTATTTGCAATTAACAATTTTACCAAATCTCCCCCCCCCCCAATGTAAAATGTTCATAACACAATTTTACTAAATCCCCCCCTGTCAAATGTTCATAACACAATTTTATCCAAAA